CCAGACTTCTCACCAGAGATTATGAAAGCAGTTGATTCTGGGAAGATATCATACAGAAGTTAATTAATTAAAAATGTTGAAAATATTTTAACTTAAAATTTAAGTGAGGTTTATTGAACCATAATTTATTATGCAGCAAAATCTAGCTGTACTCTCTATGGACTTTTATGGCTTTTGAAAAACCAAATGATGAAATGATTACTCATAATCAAAATTTAGAATATGTCTGACCATTGGAGTGTTTTAAATGGGGAAGTGTGAAAATCCAGACCTTACAAACACACACACACACACACACACACACCACTATTACTCAAAGTTCAACTAGGGCACTTTGCAAAGTCATGAAAGGAGGTTACTTTCATGGTCTTAGCACTGTACTGGCAAATCAGTGATAATAATAAGTACCTTTGCTGGTACACAGTTATAGTTAAGGGTAAGTACAAAGATTATCCTTGGTGTGAGGGTCTGGGCAATGTATTGATGTGTGGGTGCCAGGGAAGAACTCACAGGACATTAAAAGGATACCAAATCTGCTTTTGTGAGACCTCTCATTCATAACTAATAATTTTGACTCAGGCTAGGATTACCAATAAGAGGGCTGATTCCATCTACAATTCACAAGTGTGTTAGGGGTTTTGAATTTTCTACATCATACTGGTTTAAACTTTGAATTCCCTCATTGTTTTAATCTGAGAAGTGATTAAACAGCCAGAGATCATACAGCACCTCCAGGAAATTTTTTTTCTTTCCCACATTATTCATTTTTTATTCACATTATATCCTAGTTGCAGTCCCTCCCTTCTCTCCCTCCATTCCTCCCCTGACAGTGTAGTCCTTACACCTATTATTCATTTGCTGTGGATTGTCCTGGTGCTGATGTTTTTTATTGGATATTTTATTTATTTACATTTCAGATGTTATCTCCTTTCCCCATCTCTACCCCCACCCCTCAGAAACCCCATTTCCCATCCCCCTTCCTCCTGCTTCTATGATTTTGATGCTAATTCTGCTTCTCCAGGAGGAAGGAGTGAATTATGTACTCAGATGACTTCAGGTAAACCTTCCTCTAATGAATAAATCTTTCCAGGAACCAATCACTGGGAGAATGGGTGGGACTTCCAGGTTGGAAAGAGAAAGAGGGAAAGCAGGAGAGGGACTTTTGGATAGGAGAGTGAATAGAGGACAACATGTAGGTAGGCAAAGTTACTGGTTAAGGTGTCAGATCCCACAGGATCCACTACCAGAGGATTTGTACCTTAGAAAAGGTTACAAGTTAGGTTGCTAGTTGCTGCACACAGTGATTGTGTTACATGTTGATTATAAACTAAGTTTTTGTGGTGCTTTCCTTCATGTGGTGACTCAACTAGGTTCCAGAGAGAAAAGTGCTGCAAGAAGCACACCCCAACTAGCTGTGAGAATTTGGCAGGGTGTGGCTGGCATGGCAGCAATCTGCCATGGGAACTTAGCTAGCCAGGTGGAAACATTTCAGAGCTCAGGCACACAGTGTCTGCTGAGCTCAGATCAGGTCACCCTATTCACTGATGCCTTGCCAGTGGTAGTGTGGATTGCTTTTTAAAATATTTCACGCTACATCCATTGAAAAATATGTCTGCATTTATGCCAGTACCATACAGGTAGATTAATGGAATAGAATTGAAAACCAAGAAATAAACTCAAAGGCCTATGGACACTTGGTTTTGGACAAAATAGCCAAAAATAAGTAACAGAAAAAAGAAAAAGATCTTCAACAACTTGTGCTGTTCTAATTGTAGGTCTACATGTAGAAGAGTGAAAATGGACACATATCTGTAGTAGGTTAGCCAAGTGCTGTTTGTATTCTAATTCTAAGTTTTGGAATCAGCACAAAGCTTCTGAGAATCTGGCACCAGTTAATTCAAATTAATAAAGCTGCGAACATCCAATAGTTGGGGAGAAGAGACTTAGCAGGGTTTTAGGTTTCCCTGGCTTGGGTCCTCACAAAAAATTTCCTCAATCCATTATTTATCATTATATGGACAATACCCTATCGGTTGATTCAGATATAAATATCATGGAAAGAATGTTTGATAAAGTAATAAGAAATAAAACAAAACAAAACCTTGCCTTGATAGGGATTACAAATTGTTCCTGAAAATACACAGAGGTAATTCTATTAATAATCTAGGATACACAATAAATCTACAAACACATGGCTACCAATACAATGCAGTTTTTAATCACTATTTCTCTATAATACAGCTTGAACTCAGGGGTGGTGATTTTCTCAGAAGTTCTTTTATTTTGGGGAACAGTTTTTGCTATTAAGGGATTTTGTGATTCTAACTGAATTTGAGAATTACTCTTTCTAACTCTTTGAAAAATTGAGTTGGAATTTTGATAAGGATTACATTGAATCTGAAGCTTGTTTTCAGCAAGACGGCCATTTTTCCTATGTGAATTCTGCCAATTCCTGAGCAAGAGAGATCTTTCCATCTTCTGAGGTCATTTTAAATTTCTTTCTTCAGAAACTTTACATTCTTGTCACACAGATCTTTCACTCGATTGGCTAGATTCATACAAAGGTAGTTTATATTTTTTGTGACTGTTGTGAAGGGTGTCATTTCCCTAATTTCTTTCTCAGTCTGTTTCTCCCTTGAATAAAGGAATGCTACTGTTTTACTTGAGTTAATTTTCTATCCAGCCACTTTGCTGAAGTTGTTTATATGTTCTCTGGTGGAATTTTTGATGGCACTTAAGGATACTATCATTTTATCAGTAAATAGTCATACTTTGACTTCTCCCCTTCCAATTCATATCCTTTTGACCTCCCTTTGTTGTTTAATATTTCTAGCTAGAACTTCAAGTTCTATATTGAATACAGAGTGAGAGAGTGGGCAGCCTTGTCTAGTACCTGATTTTAATGGGATTGCTTCAAGTTTCTCTCCATTTAGCTTGACGTTTGCAACAGGTTTGCTGTATATTGCTTTTTAATATGTTTAGGTATGGACCTTGAATTTTTGATGTTTTCAAGACCTTTCCCATGAAGAAATTTTGAATTGCTTAGTATGTTTTCAAATGCTTTTTCAGCATCTAATGAAATGATCATGTGTTCTTTTTATTTGAGTTAGTTTATGTAGGGGATTATATTGATGGATTTTTGTATATTGAACCATCCTTGCATCCCTGGGATGAATCCTACTTGATTGTGGTGAATGATCGTTTTTATGTGTTCTTGGACTTGGTCTGCAATAATTTTATTAAGTATTTTGGCATCGATGTTTATATGAGACATTGGTCTGAACTTTTCTTTTTTTTGTTGGGTCTTTGTTTGGTTTAGGTATAAACACAATTCTGGCTTCATAAAACAAATAGGATTGTGCATTCTTCTGTTTCTATTTTGTGGCACAGTTTGAAATGTATTGGTGCTATGTCTTCTTTGAAGGTTTTTAGAATTCCTTATTAAACCCATCTGGTCCTGGGATTTTTTTTGGGGGGGGACTTTTAATGACTGCTTCTATTTCTTTAGAGGTTATGGGATTATTTAGGTGGCTTATGGGATCTTGATTTAACTCTGGGATGTGGAATATGTTTAGAAAATTGTCCATTTCAAACACATAATTCAATGTCAATGTCTATAGAATTTTGTAGTAGGATCTGATGATTTTTTAATTTCCTCAGTTTTTGTTGTTATGTCTCCCTTGTCAATTTTGATTTTATTAATTTCTATGCTTACAGAGACAGGCAGGTAGATTAATGAAATAGACTTAAACATCCAAAAATAAACCAATGTACCTATGGTAACTTGATCTTTGACAGAGGAGTTAAAACCATACTATGGAAACAACAAAGCATTTTCAACAAATGGTGCTGGCTCAACTGGAGGTCAGCATGTAGATGAATGCACACTGTACATTCTTATGTCCTTGTTCAAAACTCAAGTACAAATGGAGCATAGACCTCCCCATAAAACCAGGTACACTAAAATAAATAGAAATTTAAGAGGGGAAGACTCTAGAACACATGGGCACAGGGGAAATTTTTCTGAATATTTGCTCTTAGCCATTCTTACTAATGTGAGGAGGAAACTCAGGTTTGTTTCAATTGCATTTCCCTGATGACAAAGGATGTTGAACAATTCTTATATAGTAAGAACAGTAATATCAACCAACTAGAAATCCCAGATCTCCTAGGGGCTAATTCACCCAGCAAGGATTACACATGGAGGGGCCCATTGATCCAGCTTCATATGTAGCAGAATATAACCCATTTGGGCATCAATGGAAAAAGAGACCCTCAGTTCTGTGAAGTCTTGATTCCTCTCAGTAGGGGAATTCAAGGGTGGGAAGGCAGGAGTGTAAGGGTGTGTAGGGGAACACCCTCCTAGAAGCAGAGGAAGGGGGATAGGATAAGGGATTTCTGGGAGTGGCAACCAGGAAAAGGGATAATATTTGAAATGTAAATAAAAAAATATCCAATAAAAATAAACTGAACAAAAGGTTAGGCTACAAAAGGTACAAATGAAAAGAAACCAATTAAGGACTTTTAGACTTTCAGAAATTATTGGGAGATATTAACTGGGTGTGCCTTCCAATTGTCCTGGCTACACAAGAGCTAAACAGTTTATTTCATATCTTACAAGGTGATAAAGATTTAAATAGTCAAAGGAAGTTATCAGCCAAGGCTGAGGAGTTAGCTCTGCTAGAAAGGAAACTACAGGCTACATATCTAGATTGTATTAACCCAAAAATGGCCTACATCTTAGTTATCTTACCTTCTACTCATTCCCCTACAAGAATTCTCATGCAGAGGGAAGATTATATCTTAGAATATGCTTTTATCACATAAACAGAGTAAGATATTTAAAACCTACATAGAGAAGATATTTAAATTGATAGTAAAAGAAAAATGGGATTTTGACAATTTGCTGGAATTTATCCAGCTGAAATTGTGGTACCTTTTACTAACACAGAGATTGTCGCATTAAGGGAACAAGATGAACATTGACAAAGAGCATGAAGTAATTTCTTGGGAGAGTTTAATAACAGGCAATTTATAAACAACTGACTTCAGTTCTTTAAAAGAACTAATTGGATTCTCCCTTGTATAATAAATAAAAAATTCCAAATTCTGGAGCCCGTACATTTTACACTGATACTAATAAATCAAGAAAGACAAGATATAAATCAGAATATGTAAGTAAGTTGTCTGAGAGTTCCTATAAGTTGGTTCAAAAATTTGAATTATATACAATATTCATGGTACTGTCAGATTTTTTTAATAGTCTTTTAATATGATAACTGACTCTCAATATGCAGAAAGTGTTGTTTTATACATAGATACTGCTGAACTAATTCACGGTGATTCTGAATTGACTCCACTGGTTACTCAGCTACAACAAGCGTTCAGAAATAGAAGTCATTCACTATACATAAAATACACATAAGACCCCATACAGGTCTGCAAGGTCATCTGGCACAAGTTAATAATGAAATTGACCAGCTTTTGAAAGAAAGGTTGTGAGAAGCTTAAGAATTTCATACATAAATAAAAAACATGGTAACATAAAAGGTTTAAGGAAATAATTCTCTATTACTTGGCAACAAGACAAGAAAATTGTGAGGCACTGTCCTACTTGTTCCTTTTATAACTAAACTCCATTACCTACAGGAAGTAACCTCAAAGTTATCCAAAGAAATAAAATTTGGCAAAAGAGTATGTTCCATTTTACAGAGTTTGATAAAGTGATATATGTGCATCATACTATATACACATAGTCAGGATTTCAATGGACTATTGCCTTAGCATCTGGGAAGGCTGATTTTGATGTTATAAATTTGTCAGAAGCTATGACCATGATGGGAGTAGCCATATAAATTAAAATGGACAACTGTCAGACATATGTCTCTAATGAAATGAAACAGGTGTTTTTGCATATTATAAGATAAACCAGGTTACAGTAATATCACATAATTCTAAAGGACATGCAATTGTAGAGAGACTTAATTGTATCTAAAAGAGATGCTTAACAGGCAGAAGTGGACAACAAAAACCCCTGGAGATAGATTACATATTGCTTTATTAATCTTACATTTTGAAAATGCTAATGAACAAAAAACTATGGCTGCTAAAATACATTGGAATATGGAAAAAAATGCTAAACTAACTAAAGTGCTTATTTTAAGGATATTCAGTCATCAAAATGGAAAATGAGTAATGTGTTATTCTAGGCATTGGTTTATGCCTATATTTCCACAAGGAAAGAAAAACTATGGGTTCCTTGCAAATTGATAAATGTCAGAGATGACAATGAGAGACATCCCAAAGAACTTGCCTATAGACTAGAAGAAAGAGACTAACAAGATCAAAAGACTAAGTCATGTGTATGTGGTGATGTACATATCTCTGTACACAGAGACAGCTCTAGAACCAGCTGAGATTTAAATGACTATATACAGCCAACAACACCTATAGGATACAAATTTTTCATGACTTATTGTTACATACAATCTTTAAGACCGCATGAATAGAAATTTATATCTTAGTTTGATTATATGATCAAAATAACTTCTAAAGGAAGACACTTGTCTTTCTTTATTGATCTTCATCAACTGATCTGCGCTCCTCACACCTTCCACATGAATGCCATTATAGAGCTATGTGTTACTTGTAAGGTTTATATATTGCAGAATGAAGGAGAAGGAAGGCAAGCCTGACAAGGTTTATGCCCTGGGATGCCGAGATTCTGGGACCTTCCATTCCAGCTTAGTGTTTGATTCCACCTCAACTACATCAAAGCTATTTCTTCTAAAGAGTTGCTTCCAGGACATTTCCATAACATCTCACTTGCCCTCAAGGGTTGGAGGTACTCAGTATCCTTTAGCAGAATAGGAGCAGGCATGGAGGGAGGAAGTTGTGAGTATGGATTTGAGATGAGAGAAGGGAAGCAGCTGGAATCAGTATGTATAGTGAATAAATAAATAAATGAAAAAAAAGAAAAAGAAAATATTTAAGCATATATATTTTTTTTCTTCAGCAAATAATTAAGCTGATATTCATGCACGGTATGATAAATTTATAAATACTGATTAATACTTGTTTAATTTCCATAGATTCACATGTAGAGCCTTTTGTCATGTCCAATCTCAGTAAAGAAAACCCCCAAATAAATGACTAATTTAAATAAAAATAAAATGTTTTCAAGTTTGAATTCTATGAAGTAAATTGGAATGTGCTTATAATACACAACAAAATAGCAATCAAAGTAGGAAATATTTGATGACTCAAGACTCTATGATTCTAGGCTGATGAAATGACTTTCAAAGATAGAGATATATTAGTTGTACTGTATTGCATAGGCAGAGGACCTGAGATCAGTTTCTAGGACCCCAAGAAGAAGTTTACAGCTACATGCAACTTCAGGTCCCATGGAAGCAATTCATCATTCTCACCTCTGAAGATACTATAAACACAAAAGTATACATACTACTACTACCACTACTGTTGCTACTATTAGTATTAGTAACACTATGTTTTAAAAAAAAATACCTTCACAATTACACAACAGGATCTATTCTATGACCACACTCAGTTATTCACATATTTAGCAACAGATATGTAAACATCAGTGTTCATATAGTAGTATTAGTAACTCTATGTTTTAAAAAATTGCATTCACAATTCCACAACAGGGTTTATTTTATGACCACATTCAGTTATTCACATATAGAACAACAGGAACATAAACATCAGTGTTCATATAATATTTAAATTTTTGAAAATTTATTCCCATGGGAACATCCCTGGAGGGAATCCAGCCATTTTCTCCTGGAATACTTTATCAAAGGCTTCAGCTTGAGCTACTGTGAAATGTTTCTTCCAGTCCCCAGTTGTGCCTGGAAAATACAAAGCAAATACATAGGTGGATTAAGAGTGGTCTCAACACTGCTCTAACTCCTCCCATCATGTGCTCTTACCATCTGTTTGATAAAGAGCACACAGTTAATAGAACAAACAACAATTTTCTGTAGAAACCTTCTACATCTCTGAAATCATATACACAGACTTCTCCCTCTGTGGAAATTATGTTCCACCATTTCTTCTCTCAAACTACCTACTAGACAATCTAACAGAAGCAACACTGGCTTGACCATTTTTTATATCTAGATTATTCCTGCTTCCCACAAAACCTGTTTCCATCACACTATTCAACTCCAGAGTGTTTATCCTCTCAATGATCCAAACCAACTTCAGTTGTTTTGTCTATATTTTCATATTTACTTATAGAAGATCCTCACAGCATGCAAACAACTTGTAAATAACATCTTAAAATAGTTTTTACTGCCAGGCAGTGGTGGAACATGCCTTTAATCCCAGCACTTGGGAGGCAGATGCAGGTGGATTTCTGAGTTGGAGAGTTCGAGGCTAGCCTGGTCTACAGAGTGAGTTCCAGGACAGCCAGGGCTACACAGAGAAACCCTGTCTCAAAAAAAAAAACAAAAAAAATAGTTTTTACTTTTGTGTGTGAGGGTTCACATGAGTGCTACAAATACATACAGTTATGATCAGTATTTCGGCTGCCTTCATTTTCCCATCAGATACACACAGCTACTCCAGCTGAGACCATCACCTCTGTTTCACTCAGCCATGGTGTTTTGTGATGTTTGAAGATCTGTATAATTTGAGACCCTGTCCTTCATAGCACTGTCTTTTCTGACCATAAATTGGTTTTCATCACTTCATTCCAGAGGGTCTTCAGTTTAAAATTTATAAATTGTCCAATTTCTCATTCTCTGTTGTATCCTCCTTCAACCTAGATGGCATACATCTTTTATATAATTACATTTTGGTCTTTGTCTTTTTATTAATGACACTGTAAACTTCTCTATCTTTCTTCCATTTGCAATCCATCAGCCCCCATTCTTGACTTATTTCCCAGCTGTGTCACTGTGATGTGTTCCATCCACTTCTGCTTTGAATATACACACAAAACATGCATCTAATATGTTTTAAAAGAAAGTGTTTTTTAATTTACTATGTGGTTCATTTTGCAAAGTGTGCAAGACATATAGGCTATACTCAGTGTGTGACTATTTTAATGAATCCATGAATCCATGAGAAAGGTGTAAGCAGTTTGCCTATTTTGGTGATGAGGAAAAATTAGTCTTTGAGATGTTACCAAGCATGATAATGTAATGTGGATGTGGATGTAAATGTGAATCCTGAAAGATTGACAATAGAAGTCATGCTTTTCTTTATTACATTGCTGTCTTTCTGTATCATCACATAAGTTAATTTTAATACTCTTGTGGGCTGTATTAAAGAAAATGTAGCCAGTTCCATTATTTGTTTGTTTGTTTTTTCTTTTTTATTGGGTACTTTATTTATCTACATTTCAGATATTATCCCCTTCCCCATTCCTTACCCCCAGAAACCCTTTAAAAAATCTCCTATTTCTCTGAGGGTATACCCGACCCACCCATGCTCTCTCAACTCCCCTCCTTCGAATTTCTCCTCACTGGGACATCCAGCCTTCAATGGTCCAAGGCCCTCCTTTCCCACTGATGCCTGACAAGTCCCTCCTCCTCTACAAATACAGCTGGAGACATGGGTCCCTCCATGTGTGTTGCCAGGGTAGCTGTTTAGATACACAGAGCTCTGGTTGGTTGTTATTTTAGCTCTCGCTATGGGGCCACAAGACCCTTCAACTCCTTCAGTCTTCTTTCTAACTCCTCCATGGGGGGGGAACCCTGTGGTCAGTTTGATGGTTAGCTGTGAGCACCTGCCTCTGTATATGTGAGGCTCTGGCAGTGCCTCTCAGGAGACAAGTATATCAGGCTCCTGTCAGCATGCACTTCTGGACACCCACAACAGTGCTTGCATATGGTGATTGTACCTGGGAGGGATCTCCAAGTGAGGTAGTTTATGGATGGTCTCTCCAACAGTTTCTGTTCCAAACATTGTCTCATATTTGCTCCTGTGAATATTTTGTCACTCCTTCTATGAAGGACTGAAGTACCCACACTTTGGTCGTTCTTTTTCTTGGGCTTCATGTGGTCTTTGTGTTCTGTCTTGAGTATTGTGATTTTGGGCTAATATCCACTTATCAATGAGTGCATACCATGTGTGTTCTTTTGTGACTGGGTTACCTCACTCAATATGATATTTTCTGGTTCCATCCATTTGCCTAAAAATTTCATGAATTCATTGTTTTTAATAGCTGGGTAATACTCCATTGTGTAAAAGTACCAAATTTTCTGTATCCACTCCTCTGTTGAAGGACATCTGTGTTCTATCCAGCTTCTGGCTATTATAAATAAGGCTGCTATGAACATAGTGGAGCATGTGTCATTTTTATACTTTGGAGCATCTTTTGGGTATAAGCCCAGGAGTGGTATTGCTGGATCGACAGGTAATATTATGTCCAATTTTCTGAGGAACCTCTAGAATGATTTCCAGAGTGGTTGTACCAGCTTACAATCCCACCAACAATTGATGAGTGTTGCTGTTTCTCCACATCCTTGCCAGCATCTGCTGCCATCTGAGTTTATAATCTTAGCCATTCTGATAGGTGTGATGTGGAATCTCAGGGTCATTTTGATTTGCATTTTCCTGATGACTAAAGATATTGAACATTTCTTTAGGTGCTTCATGGACACTTGATATTCCTGAGTCGAAAATTCTTTGTTGAGCTCTGTACCCCATTTTTTTACTGGCTTTATTGTCTGGAGTTCAATTTCTTGAGTTTTTTGTAAATTGTGGATATTAGGCCTCTATCAGATGTAGGATTGGTAAAAATCTTTTCTGAATATGTGGTTGGCTGATTAGTCCTATGGATGGTGTATGTCACAGAGGCAATGCAACTTTATGAGGTCCCATTTGTCAATTCTTGATCTTAGAGCATAAGCCATTAGTGTCCTGTTCAGGAACTTTCCCTGCCAGGGGCCACACCTGCCTTGAGGGGAATCTTCTTCTTGTCTGTTCTTGAGGAAGCAGAAGGGGAAGAGTGTCAGTGGGGGTAAGACTTGTTCTTAAGAGATTTGTTGTATTATAAAGTCTTGTTCACCTTATAGATGCCCATTTACTTTCATTCTTTCTCTCCAAAAATCTCACCAAACTCTTGTGGGTCAGATGGCAGAATAAACTTAATATGTAGTGGTTTAACTCTTGTTGAAAAGTAACCTCCTCATAGGTGTGAAGGTCTCACATCAGGGTGTTTTCCTAATCTTGGAGTCCTTTCTTTTCAGCCTGAAGATGGCAGGCTTCTTCCTTTGTCCTTATGTCACCTTCCCTTTATGTGTCTAATTAATGACTTTTGATGATACCAGTGAAATTGAATAATGGCCAAAGGAATGTGTCCAGTAAACATATACTGTAAAGTAATCAAGGTTGAGATTTTTGAGGTTTGTCAGAAAATATTTCCTACACATGTCTTGATTGTGGTGTTGCCTTTATAAAATTCTTGTTAACCAAATTGTGGCAGATTGAAAGTGAACATCTTTCTAATATGCATTTACTTCAGTGTCTAAATATGGAATTACCATGACTACAATTGCATGTCAAATATTACTGCTTGGAGGTGAAAACTAGATTCATTTCACCTACTTGAATGATTGAGTCTCCCAGGTAATGATGACAAACCAGGTCTCCAGAGACAATAAAAGATATTTTTCTTGAGTCTTGAGAAGAAAAACATTTATCAGATACAGGAAAATAGGTCTAGTTTATTCCTTCTGGCTAAGGCAACTCTACCATTGGTAGAGCTTTTTAACATTTTATATTTTAGTGAATAAGGTTATCTAATGATAAGAAATGAAACTGGTTTTATAATTAATTTTTGATTTGCTCATACTTTAAGAATTCAAAAATGGAACCAATCTGATATAGGAATTCAGAAAACAAAGAATATCTTTATATACTTTTTTCTTTCAAAATTGCTTCCAGATGTTTCCATTTCATCATCCCCTATGATGAAGTATTGTTACAAGTGATTAAGGAAGTTGGTGTCCCCATTCAATGACCTGGTTTCCAGAGGTACATGGCTTGCTAGCTATGTGCCACACTAGTATAAGAAAAATAATCCCCAAGAATAAACGTTGTCTTCAAATGCAAAAAAAGTTTGCTACATAAAATAAATAGGATAATTAAATTACAAAAAACTTATTAAGTCTGATCAATATTTTCACAGAACTATATTATAATTACTGTTCTTATGCATGTATCTAATATGCATGTATGTATGAATGAATATATGTATGCATGTATTCTTTCTCTCATCTAAGCTACATGACAAATACTGTGTGTATTTGGAAGAGATTTAATCCAAGTATGTTTTCATCCTAGGATAATCTTCCTGGAAAAGAAGAAACAATAGTCCTCATGGAATTTTGTGTTAAATTCTATTTCATCTGCTCTGATGTGTCTCTGCTAAACCTTTAGCTTCTCGGTTTTCTTATCTCTTTGCTATTAACAGAGCTTCTTCATTCTGTTAGGTACTTGATAACAGACTTTTTGGTTGCTATACTGTTTTTCCTCTGCCAAATTCTGATTCACTTTAGAACATCTAAGAACAGACCACTTCTTTCAGGTGAGAACTTCAGTTCTAGTGCAGAAAAATATGTCTCCACAGAGTCTGGACTGCAGTAGTCTGAGGGCATATGACAAAAGCAGTCTATGCTTAAAAGGACTTGATCTTTAGTGAATAGACACAAATTTTCTTGTGGCGAGTGGTGGCATATCATTACCCCTAAATCTGATTCGAAATGTCCTATTTTGAGGATACTAAGAGTATTGAATTAAATCCAATCTAGTAATTACTTAGACTTCATTTTACCTATGAAACCTCCTGATATCCTTACATTCTTAGTATCCAAATCTCACACCCTGGAAGGAGGACTAAAGGTAAAGGCTGAATCATTTAAATTATTGGTAAAAAAAAATTATACCCACAAGTCTTTACTTCCTTCATTTGAACCAATGCTCTTAGTCATTGTTAAATAGCTGATTCTTGAAAACTTCCTTCTTCTCCTCTGAGTTCCATCTCACCTATTATTACCTTATCAGGCCTGAGATAGGCTCAACATCTGATTAATGTAGCAAAATCACTCCTTAACTGCACAGCTATGAAACCACACACACAATCTTCTCCCAGTATAGAGAGGTGGCACAGAAATAGAGAGGATTGAAATCCCCCTTCTAGGAGAGACAATTCAGAATGAATGGAAAGATCATCAACCTAAAGTAATCTAAACATAGGTTGGCAAATACCATCAGATTTTAACAATAGAGAATTTTTGTAGTCCTTTTTGGGTTTACTTTTGGCCTATTCTGGGGCAGCCGTCTTGATCTGGTCAACATTTTTCCAGATTTCAATGTAATTTTTATGGTTCTGTGGTTATCATCTCAGGTATATCTTTGCCCTACTGTATTACACTTTATATATTTTGGAGTTGAGGATTTTGATACATGGAACTTAACAATGCCTCTTAGAAACCAGACCTTTTTCCCACTTTTCATTGAAGTTATTTGACATTACCATCTCTAATCCCAAGATTGTCTCCCAGAAGAAATCAACTTTTCAGACTGAAAAAGCCCATATCTTTTCCATAAACCATTACTTTGTAGTGTCTGTGAGAAGCTATCAGTAATGTGCAGTGACTGCCAGTACATTCCAATTACTTATGAATTCATTGGCACAACAAGTCCTTAATGTGTTCTAACATATTATGAAGCTAGACAATTCCTTTACCTTTTCTCATGAGGTTCAGGCCATTAGGAAATACATCTTTGCCGATGATACTAAAATTGATCATGTTAATTTCTTTCATGACTTGGAAGGAACTGTGCTTGAGGACTAGATCCATCTCATCAGGCTCTAATTTTTTCCCTAGAAACTCACAGATCTTCTTTATGGTTCCCTTTGTATCCTAAACAAAGAAGAAACAAAAATAAGGGGAATGAACAGAGAGCTCTGAAAGTACAGATGCAAAGAAGGGATCTGTGGGGCTGGACAGAGGATAAGAGCACTGACTGCTCTTCCAGAAGTCCTAGTTCAATTCCCAGCAACCACATGGTGGCTCACAAACATTTGTAATATGATCTGATGCCTTCTTCTGCTGTGTCTGAAGACAGCAACAGTGTATTCACATACATTAAATAAATAAGTCTTTAAAAAAGAAGGGATCTGTGGATGGTGGATGAGAAAAGGGATGTGAAGAAAGAGCATCAGCAGATGAAAGAGCATGAATGGAGTTCAGTCAAGAAAAGGCAATGAAACAAAGGAAAGAAGGACTCACAGTCAACATTTATATACTGAGTAGGGGCTTACAATGTGGCTGATTTTTATTTCCTAAAAAACAGAGCCTGGGTCTTCTTTTTAGGTAGAAAAAAATTAGAGATAGTGTCTCATAAAACCAAGAGTAAATTTAAACTTACTTTGTAGAGGATAATGACCTTGAATTTCAGATCCTCCTTCCTAATACTCTGTAGTGCTTTGGTCACAGATATGTGCCAACACAGTCACTAAGTATACTGAGAGTTCTTTTCTCCTTCTTCTTCTTAATTTTTTTGGGGGGTTTTCGAGACAGGGTTTTTCTGTATAGCCCTGGTTTCCTGGAACTCACTCTGTAGACCAGGCTGGCCTCGAACTCAGAAATCTGCCTGCCTATGCCTCCCAAGTGCTGGGATTAAAGGCATGTGCCACCACTGCGCGGCTTAGAGTTCTTTTCTTAAGACCAAACAACCAGTGCTTCCAGGGTCCAAACCACAAGCCTGGGAGAACATAGGAACTGACTCATGGCTCCAGGGTATGTAGGAGTGGATGACCTTGTCAGCCAAAAGCAGGAGAGGAAGTCCTGGCTCCCATGATTGCTGGATGCCCCACTGTGTGGGAATTCTAGGTCAGGATGATGGGAATGAGTGTGTGGGTGGGGCACATCATGGTAGAAGCAGGAGTAGAGGGGGTACTATAGGGGGGTTTTGGGTTGGGGGAGAAATGAGGAAAGGGCATAACATCTGAAACGTAAATAAAATAATCATTGGGGAAAAAAAAGGACTGGGACTCACTCTAATTTTAGCTTGTGCAATGGATGTTTCCATGGAGACCAGTATACCTGAAGCTTACAGAGATCAGAGATTCATGTATCTGGCTTTTTCTTTCCATGTACCAGCATTGAAAGTATGTACAGTCTTACATATCCTGCCCTGGGACACTTAAAGTAACTTACAGAAATGCTGCTAGACAATGATCAAGGTGAATGAAGGAATGTGCTCAAAGACCTCAAATAGATTATTGTTTATGCCAGATAATAACATTTGCTTAAGCTAACTGAAAACAATACAGCTTTACAAGAGGTTCACAATAATGTTCTCAACATTTATTACTTGGAGTACTTCTCATAGACTTTGTTTTTAGTAAGCATCTCAGGTTACAGCACAGATGAGCACTAAAATCACAACGTTTTTGGCTCAGATCTCTAATTGTTGCAAGAATATAGTTTCATCCTAGGAGAAACTAATCACCAGGCAAAATCTTAGAACATGAAAAATTGTGATTTGAATAATAGCCCTCTCCCTGGACTCATGAAGTTTTTTTGGTTTAAAACATTTGTTACATATTTATCACATTTCCACCTAATATTTCATAGGAAAGTAAACAATTTTGTCAATAAATGATAATAATGTGTTAAATTGTCAGAAAGGTGACTTATGGGAATCTGCACTAGTGTGCATCAGACAGTTAGGTAGTGATCCATCCTAGGGAAAATTGAATTTCATGAAGATTAAATAAAAGAGTCTACATATAGGAAAAATAGTGTGATGAAAGTTCTGTCTTTACATGTAAACTTTTGCTTCCTGAGAGATAACACTAAGAGGTCAAATCATTTTTGGATAATTTCATCTTTTTTTGTTTTGATTAGTTGTGCTTTATTTTTTTATTAATAGTTATTTTTCTCAATCCCTTTAGGGAAGCAGGTAGGCTCACAACAGACCTTTACCTTTCACCTGCTTTTCCAGATCCTATGCCCAAGTCATCTTTAGCTCTGCAGCAGAAAACATATGGCAGCGCTCCCCTTTTCTAGTGTGTCCAAAGGTCTTTCCCTTCTAATATTGCTCCCTCAACTCATTGCATTATCCAAGTTTCCAAGTTCATCAGTTCCTGGGAACAAACTGATTACTCTGGCCAGGAAATCAGACAGGCTATCTGTAGTTTGATCTTCACTTTTCCTAGCATATCTCCAAGTCCAATTTCCCAGGCCCAATCTTTTGTTTTGTTTTGTTTTGTTTTGTTTTGTTTTGTTTTTCAAGACAGGGTTTCTCTATATAGTTCTGGCTGTCCTGGAACTCACTCTGTAGACCAGGCTGCCAGCGAACTTAGAAATCCACCTGACTCTGCCTCCCAAGTGCTAGGATTGAAAGCGTGTGTCACCACCGCACGGCTCCAGTCCCATTCTTATCTGTGCAAAAGAACTCCAAACTTTGGGAAATGAATTGCTTTGCCCAAGCCCCTGACTTCCGAATGTACTCCTGAGGAAGCCAAAGCCTGTTATGACAAGGGAAGCAAATAGGTTACATTGTCAGATTTCATCTCTTTGTCCATTCTTCAAATTCAATACCTGAGTCTCATCCCTACCTCTTTATCAAACGTTCTATTGTGGCTTTTCCTCATTATATGTCCCCATTCCAAGGAGACTGTCTATGCAATCCCAGTGAAACACCCAGCTTTCTTTCCTCTTGTGAAGTCTCTCTATTGAGCCCAGCCCATCTCTATTTCTAACTCTCCTGCTGCACAATCAATAAACACACCTTATCTGGTACACTAATTTAGTTTCTATAGGCTACATAAAGCCACCTCATTCTCCTAATAACCAGAGTAAAACAAAACCAGGGCATAAAATTCCAACCCAATAAAGACAAGACCAGATATCAGCACCTAGAATTATTATATTCTTAATCTAAGATGCCTAAATTCCAGTGTAAAAACACAATCAATAACAACCAGGACAATATATCTCTACTAGAGCCCACCAATCAAAACAAAGAATGCCCTGGATGTTTCACCGTAGCTGAGGCACAAGGGAAAAATCCTTAAAACAGCTTTATGAATATAATAGTGGTCTTTTAAAAGGAAATGAATATATCACTTAAAGAAATCTATGAAAACACAAAGAAACAGTGGAAAGAAATGAATTAAACTAATTTCCACCTGAGTAGAAATACAATCAATACAGAAAATCCAAATTGAGGAAATCTCAAAATGAAAATTTCAAGAACTCAAACAGATAGCTCAGAGGCATCCTTCACCAAAAGTAGATTGATATAATGGAGACCTTTTTGTATTGAAGACACAGTAAATGAAATAAATACAATAAAGGAAATATTACATATTTAAAACTCCGGGCACATAATATCCAGGAAATTTGGGTCACTATTTTGAAAACACCAGATGTATGAATAATCGAGATAGAAGAATAAAAGGGAACTCACATCAAAGACACAGAAAATATTTTCAACAAAATTATAAAAAACAATCCTAACCTGAAGAAAGAGATGCCTATCAAAGTTCATGAAGAATACAGAACATCAAGTAGACTGGACCAGAAAAGAAAGTCCTCTGAGCACATAGTAATCAAAACATTAAATGTACAAAATAAATTATGAACAGATGTGCAAGAGCTAGGATGACGGATACAAGTAGGAGAGGGGAAGAAACAGATGTTGTAGAAGGGAGTACAGGGAAATACAGGTAAAATTATGTAATATTTGAGAGGTAATATTGAACTCTACTACAGTGGAAACTTCCTAAAATCTATGTGTATATGAATGTGATCAGAGTGAAATCACAAGATTATGGACATCTCTTGTCACAAAGATGAAAAGAATGAAAGAAAGAGAGAGAGAAAGAGAGAGAGAGAGAGAAGGAGGGAGGGAGAGAGAGAGAGAGAGAGAGAGAGAGAGAGAGAGAGAGAGAGAGAATGAAAAATTACAATACTAGGATTTGGTTACATCTAAATGAGTTTCTGGGCATATGGACTCCATAGGAATCACTCACAATGAACCCAGACTGTTGCAAAAACTATAAATTGCTCTTCACAAACTGACTGCAAGCCCTCATTGCAAAAGACACCTATACATAATACTGAATGTGAAGATGTCAAGTTCGTCCCTACAGAGAACTTCCACCCTTAATTCTTAGTTCTTTAGGACAGAAAGGCACTTTGTGTGCACCACAAAGATAAGTATCAAAACCAAGCTAGACACAAATCCTTCTATCTATAGTGGTGTACTACTTGCTAGAAAAGTTAGATCAGTGGTGTCTCAAAGCTTTATGTGTATAACAAACCAATAACTGTTTTGACTTCAATCCCATTTCATGAGATGGAGCCTATATCGTAAACTGCTTGTGTATTCAAGGACCTAAGACTAGATAGCCCAAGGTCTTATGATAAAACCAAATAATGCTCTTAAAAAGGAAAAAGAAAAAAAAGTTGTAAAATGACTCCTAATGGTATTCTGCTATATGCATAGAACAGTGCCTTGTTTACACAGAAACTTCCTCTTGCAGCAGATGTGGACAAATATAGAACCTTACAATCATACATTATAAAAAGTGAGATGGCCTAAATGGACATCTCCATCAAAGTCCTCCTTTCAGAGCTCAAGGGTCCCTGCAGAAGAAGAGGATGCAAGACTGTAAAAGCAAGAGGAAATTGAGAGCACCAAGAAACATGAACACTTGGAGACTAATGTTGGGCACCACTCGCGCCCAGAGGTCACGGGCGGATGCATGGGCACAAGCAGGAGCAGGCGGCAGAGCAGCAGACCCAGGTCGCAGGCGGCCAGCCGCGAGCTGGAGCACACCAGTGTGCAAGAACGTTCCTGGAGCCCTGACTCTCAAAAGAAAATGTCCCGCAGCCCTCTAGAACAAAAGAGTTCTCTCTCCCACTCCTGCCCACCTTGCAGGATTTGACCCTATACAATGAGTCCAGGATTCCAAGAGGCGCGTAGAGTTGAAGACATTTATTGACATGGTGAAGTGTCTGGCATGCTTTCCCAAAAAATGACGGAAGGGGTTTGCTTATATGGGAAGCAGGGGAGAAGGGCAGGGCCAGGGAAATCTTGAGGCAGAGACTTGGGGCATGGAGACCTCTTGGCATGGAGATCTCTTGGCAGGTCTCTGGGCTCTGGGGGTGTGGCCAAATACCCTAGGGTTCCACATCCCCACAGACTAAAGCAGCATGGACAGAGTTTGGCTGGGTTTGTCCCACATACTCTGTGTCTATATTATTTTCTCAAGTTTAGTGTTTTCATGAGATTCTTGAATAAATGAAAGAGTAGGTTACTGATTATCGTTCTTTCAATCAGACTCTTTTCTTTTGGTGGTTTGACTTATCTAACTTCAATGTAATAGATTTTGTTTTATCACACATTATTTGGCTTAAACTTATGCAGCATTGTTAACCATTGGAGGAAGTTGAGACAACAAATTAAACATAACAGGACCCTGGTGGCTGATGCTGATTTTGAGGCAATAGAAACATGCTGCTTGTTAGCTTGTTCACCATGGTATATGTACCTATACTGTTAAAGAACACAAGAATGCCAGCTCTCACAAGGGGATGGGCCCTCCTCTTTCAATCAATGATTAATAAAATACCTCACAGATTTGCCTTCAACCTGAACTTTTGGAGGCATTTTCACAATTAAATTTCCCTCCTTTCAGGTGAATCTTGCTTGTGACATGTTGACACACAACTATCCAGCATGTTATTCCATATTGCATTCTATTATATATTCTTTTATTGATTTGAGATACTTGTAGTACTAGATTATTTTCAAGAAAAATCTTTAGAGTTTTGTTGGTAATGGGGCATAGAGGATCTGGAAGTCTTCAGGGAGAGGGTACATATGATCATAATGCATTTGCATTTAAATGTTTTTTTAGTCAATAAAAGATAATTTTAAAAATGTCAGAACAACCAAAAAATCACAGTTCTCAATAACATTCCTCATTACTTGGATTTAGTTTTTCATTGTGTGGTGACTGTAAGACTGATGCTCACCTTTTTCATGTCTTCATAGTAGAGCACCAGGAAGTTGTCCCATTCTCTCATGGACAGCCAGCCACGGACATGCTCAAACCATGATCCAAACGGAACTGTATACAGGGAGAAGTAAAGTGTCAATTACATATCCTTATTGCAGGGTCTGCTTGACTTTCTTCACTTCTCTGAAAGCAGCAGCAAAAAGCTGCACTAAGAAAAATTTAACTATTTATAGCATTAATCATGATGTTTGAGGCAAATACCAAAATAAATAATTGATAAAATCAAGTTCATTAACAAACTCATTACCACATAGGCTTACCATGGAGGCCACAAGGAGATAACCTACTGCCAAGTTGCACAGACAGAAATATGTCCTGAGGGAATTTTTCACACAAATACAGGAATCTAGAGGTGATTCCTGTAAATACCTGCCTTCTGGTGAGGTGAACTAGAAAGACAGAAAAAATTGATGACAGAGATGGGAGAATAGTATTTTATATGGTGTTGGAAAGAAAGATTCCATCAATACAGCAACCTATTTGCTGAAAACTATATGGAGGTATGAATCAAGGCTTGATGGCATCATTAATAACCACACTAACAAAGTAAGTCAGTGGAATAAGGCAACTTTGTGTGTGTGTGTGTGTTTCTGTGTGTGTGTGTGTGTATGTGTGTGTGTGTGTGACAGAGAGAGAGAGAGAGAGAGAGAGAGAGAGAGAGAGAGAGAGGCAGAGAGAGAGAGAGAGAGAGAGAGAGAGAGAGAGAGAGAGAATGCTTGTGAGGTTTTAGAATGACCTTAGCATATTTACTGGAGGAAGATCTGTTGATTATGAAAAATATATAGGGCAATGCCAAGTGGGGAAACAAGACGCAGAGGAATCTGAACTGAATCTCTCTACTTAGCATACTGTTTCTGCAATTCGCTATGGTGGTATAATTTTCATTTCTATTTTTCAATCTTCAGTCCCTGATTTATCCCTTAATGATCTTATCCTGGATTGATCTCACATCCTATAGTACAGATGTACCAGGCCAGATGTGCCTAGTAATGCAATAATGACACAATTGTTATAGGGTAACTTAAGTGATGTCTGATTGGATTTGAGGCTTTATCTTTGGGAGGGAATTCATGCCTGGTATGATAAACCCATGGCTTGAGATGTCATAGATCTAACTATGGTTCCTACTCTCATTTTACTAAATTGCCATATTGTCAAACCACCTTCTAAATATTTATATATACCCATGTATTTGTGCTGTTCTGTATCTTTGTTAGAGATTATTTTTTTGGTGCTGGCATTAGTTAAAGAAGGAATTCATAAGTGATCAAAATGTGAAGCATAATTGTGAGTGCTCAATCATTGATGTGGTTTCTATCATTCCCTACTCAAGGATCAGGAAATATTGTGAAAGAGGAAGTAGAAAGTAAAAGGTAGATAATGGAGAGGAGTGCTTTGAAATTGTCCTCTGTGAATATTGTCCTCTGAACATGAGTTGATTGTTATGCAAATTTACTCGTATCATCAATGGTTGCCTATAGAAAAACTGCATAGCATAAAGCCTGTTCATATTACAGGATGGATAAGGGAGGGTGTCCTGAAGCCCCCACCTGATGAAGATCTATTTTCAGTTGATGACTGCTAGATGAGAAAGACTCCTACAACTTTTTGGTATAGGAATATTGTTAGATACTTCATGTTCATATCAAATGTCCTACATCTACGCACTTATGAGCACCACAAATTAGCCTAGTGGGTTGTATTTTTTTGAAAATATTAAGATGTTGTATGGACATATTGGGTAATGTATAGTGTGTTGGAGTGCATACTGCCAAATATAGTAGAATATGATACACTATATTCACTTTTTAAATTTCAAAGAATAAATATATTAGTTAAAAATACAAAAATTATGAAAAATAAATCGAGAACAAACAAATGACACAGCAATATCTAAGGATTTTCCTACTGAAATCAAAAAACAAATAATTCAGGAAGAGGGAGCAATAGTTGATGCTAAATCCCTTTACTTCTGAAGGACACCAATTCCAATATCTAAGACCTATTTATTCCAAGAATGCCTTGTTAAAAAAAAAAACTTCAGAAACAAACTCAAATTGACTTTTTATTATAGTTCAGTTCATCTCTCACACAGAAACAGAAATGTTTATCCATGTGGTGGACAGTGATAAATTCAAAGACTCATAGCTCCTTAAGGTATAGATAATAAGAGACATTTTAGGGGTTGAACAGTAAATGGGGCTTGTATACTAAATCTTTTTCTCCAAGTTTCAGGGATCATTTTGGATGGAGGTGGTACATAGTGAAGAGGCAGAGGTGTTTGATGACATTACTAAAACAGTGTTTTCTGTACACTTCATGGCAGTTGGACATATGAAACCAGCACTTGAGGCTTCCACAGAAGATCTTGGTTCACTTCCCAGTACCAACATGGTGACTCATGACCTTCTTTAACTACAGTTCCAGAAGATTTTTTGATGTGCTTCTGACCACTGTGGGTAATGCATGTATTCTGGTTCACAGATATACGTACAGATAAAAGGCATGTAGACATAAGATGAAAATAAATCTTAAAAATGATTATACAAAGTTGGATGCATATGGAATGAGATGAGGATATGAGAGGAATCAGGGAAGTGAATGAATATGATAAAAGTACAATGTATGGAATTATCAAAGAATTAAAAGTTATGTTTAATGACATTTCATACAAAGACAGATTATAGAGATATTGAGTGAACTCAAAGAACGTTAGTCTTTTAACCAGTTATAAGGAAGATCAGTGAAAGGAATGCCTCATTTTACAATTATATACATGGAGATTTGAAGAAAATGGTAAGCCCTAGAAAGTTGAAGTTAATGAAATAATTTGTAATACTTTACTCCAATTTTTATTTTTGTATATGCCTATGTATTGTTATATGAGACTGCAATTATGTGTGGGCACACTTGCAAAGGAATAAAGAGGATATCATTTACTCAGTAACTGGAGTTATAGAAAGTTGTGTCCCACTCAGTGTATGAGTGCAGGGAAACAGTCCCTACTCCTCTAAAAAGGTAGCAAGTGCTATTGACCAGTGAGCCATCTCTCCATCCCCTAATGGTATCATTTTCAAGAGAAAAATATAAGAGCAATTTTATTGAACAATGAAAAGTAGAAATTTACGCAAATATAAAATTGTAAATGAAATAAATAGATTTACAAAACAGAGTAGTGGGATTGTTTAAAGGCTCAATGTATAAAAGTCATTATCATATAAGCCTCATGATCAGATCTCAGCCTCTATAACCTGCATAAATTGTAAGAAAATGATTGACTCCATGAAGTTGTTCTCAGCTCCTCACTAATGTTCTGTGACATGTGTGTATCCACACAGACACTATACTCCCATATGTGGGACTGCATAAGGGTATTCTGGATCATGGCTGGGCAGTTTTGTAAAACCCCGAGACTCTGCATGAGAACTTGCAGGAGTTCAGCTTGCCCCCAGAACCCAGGGTCCTGAAGAGCAGTCTAGTCTCGATAGATTTACATTGTTCAGTCAGGTATACCAGACAGCCCCTCCCAAAGTGCACAGGCACAGGTAGTTGGCGTGACTAGAGGCCTGAGGCCCTAGGGATTTACATACTAATGAAGGCCAGAGTGCGGAACATATTAAGCATGCCTCCTCAGATCCTCCCCCTTTCTCCCTTCCTATTTAACTTGGGACTTGCCTGAGTTTTACAGGGGTACTTCCAGATTCATCCACCATCCACCATGACAATAAACGCTTTTGGAACCAAGGACTTCCTTGTGTTATTGGAGCTTGTCGCCTCCAAAGCCTCAGACCATTGGAACCATAGATATTCCTCCTGCATGTAGGACCCACTGCAGCATGGAAACCCCCAGGGAATCCACAGCTGAGGCCTCTAATATATCCCCACACACATATACCCCAGATAATAATAAAGAAAATATTTGTAAAGGAAAAAGATAAGAAGGCAACTGAAGACAATCCATAAATACTCTTCAAGACAGTCTTAACGAAGAATCATGTTGATAATATTGTCCTTGCATAGATCTTTTAAATATTGTTCTGATTGTTAATTGATGCTGTAGAAGGATGATGTACATTGTGGATAGCACTGTTCTTTACTCAGGGGGATCCTCAGAAGTATAAAGGAGGAAAAATCTAAGTGAAGGCAAAAAAACAGTAGCCTACATACTTATTCTCAGCCTTTTCATGACTGTGTAAACTAAGAAAGCCCATTGAAATCAGTAAGAGAGAATCGCTGAGCCAAATATAAAGGAAGACCTCTCAGAATAACAGACACATCAACAATTTTAAAAGGCTGGAATGCTGGAGATCTGTATTTTATGTTCTAAAAATAAAATCACTGACAAGTCAGAGTACTATACTTAGCAGTGCTTCTTGTCATAAATGAAGAAGAAATTTTAAAAAATGTTATAAGTTTAAAACCGTGCAAAATGAATTAATGTCCACTAAGTCTGTTCTACAAAATAGAATTGAGAAAAAATTATCTTTAAAACCACAACAGCATGAGTTAGTTTCATCAGCCAACTTGATACATCCCAATGTCACATTAGAGTCTCAATTAAGAGATTACCCCCATCAGATTTGACTGTGGCTGTATATTTTAGTGATTGTCATAATTGATCATTGAGGTGGTAGGGCCCAAAGTATAAACATGTGGACCTGCTCTGTATGAGAAAACTAACTGTGAGACAGTGATTAAATTACTAAGTTGATTTGTAATCTAGTTTCCTTTCAGTTCTTTCTTGAGATACTGTCCTAATTTTCCTGTAGGTAGATTGTTGACCTGAACATGTAAATCAGATAGCCACTTCCTGCTCCTAAGTTGCTTCTTGTAAGAGTATTTTATCAGACAAATCATTAACCAAACTAGACCAATAGTTAAAGAAGAAATAAAAATACAGCTTGTGTACCTTGGCAAAAATCATCAAAATGACTGAAATTAATAGATACCTTTCAAAGATAACTGCATATTAATGTCAATTCCCTTTTCAAAAGACACTGGCTAGGAAATTGCATCAAAAAGCAAGAGTATATGTTTGTTGTATGTTATCA